GACCAGATAGTTAACTATGTGGTCCATTTCAGTCTGTCACCCAGCTATTCCGGATGATTAGACAGAGATTTTTGTTGAATAATACTTTTTGATGGGATAATGCGCACGCGTTTTTCGTTCGCACACGGGTCTGTGTGTCCTGGTGCACGGAGTAAGTGGAGTAAGCCTTGTCCGGCCGGTGTTTTGCCAACAATACTGATGTCTTTCCCGGATCTGGCGAACATTCTGCCTCGGAGAATTGGACGCATCGACTGTACTCCTCCTCAAAAGTGTCATGTTCATTGTGTTCTAGCGCTGCTTTGAACGTCCACGCAGTCTTATTCTACACTTTTCCTCGTAAATAGCCAAACAATTAGTCGGTCAGTTAATTTCCGCTCTTCAGATATGATTTCTTGTTCCCTACGCATCAAATGGAACTCAATCGTACCTATCAATTAAATTTAATTTTGCACAGATTCCGCTTTACTTTAAATTTACTCCTACATCCACAGTCACGTGCATCGCTCTCCTCCCTCTTCTTCAGGTCAAGATCTGGTTTCAGAATAAGCGATCCAAGTTGAAGAAGATTCTCCGACAAGGTCAAGATCCGACAGCTTTTCTCAGCGGAATTCTGAATGAGGGGATACAGGACCAAATGGTGAGTGAGGAGGTAATCGTCCAAACCGGATGGTTTTCGTTTCTTACTACTTACTTCGAAGTTGAATTGATCGGGAAATCAGCCTATCTTTATAGCATGCGGTTGAATATTGATTAGTAAGAAAATGTTCATTTATGCCTAGTTTAAGTTCGACAGAAGGTAAGGTAATAGGACGGACCCGTTTGGTTAGAACGGTTGAATAAGAGAATTTGGGAAAGGGAACAAATGATAAAGGTTTCCAACATTCTGGTATGGAGCAGGTGTTTGAGGAAGTGTTTTAAAATGATGTTAATATATCGCTGAGAGAATAGGCTTCATATTTCAAAACAGAACATGAAAGAACTGAAACTCAGTCAATAGAAGATTTCAAACTTTTTCCCCCAAATATCACTCTAGAACGCCATTATGAACAACCCAATTGTCATACAATTCTGTCATAAATTCCATTGCAGGACAGCGAGGAAGAGGAGTTTCCCTCTCCTTCGGATGCCACTCATACGGTGAAAAAGTTTTCCGAGTCAAGTCAGGATGAAACGGGCAATGCGATCGTGGAATGTGAGAAAAGTTCCCAATCAATGCCTGTCAACTTCGCCAGAGATACGGAACAATCGGTCAGTTCACCGCATTCGAACAATGAGAAAATAGCGAATGGAGAACAGATTGACCGCGTCACTGACCCCGACTCTCTGACCGCCCTGCCATACGTATGGAATGCATGGAAGCAGGTTTCGCCGAGGTGTGTTGAGGCGGACACTGTGAGGTCTAGTTCGCATGGCGCCAGCGAATATGCCAACGCGGAATCATTTTCCAGTGACTGCCCACCTGGTCTGTCTACATCCTCTTCCTCACCGTCGCCCAAAAGACTGAACGACCGCGAGCGTCCCTTTTCCGGAACAGTAGATTCCGCCAAATCCAAAGTTCAATGCAATTCCGAAATCAAAGATGTTGCCGGTCAAAATTCGGAGTCAGCAGAATCACAATGTCTGGTTCATCACTCCCAAACCGCCGAACTTACTGCGCCAGATTCACCTATTTCCAACAACAACCCTGAAGAAAATTCCAACTTAAAAGAAGACCTGGATCTCATCGGACCTGTCACATCTTGGGATTCCACCCGAAGAAGTATTCAAGCCAATTTATTCACGTCAGATGCATCATTCGCACACCACATAAACAGTTCCGGTCCGCAATCAATGAACGCTTGGCCTCCTGACGCTGCACACAAACTGACATCCGAATCCAACCGGCAAGTCTCTCATCTTACGCAACCGAACATCTCTCAGCAATATCTGTTCCAACCAACAGACTATCCATCCACGTCCGAGGAAACCCCAAAATATGAGCGTTGGCCGGGGACAAGAACGAGCACGGGATCCCCATCTGGGTTCGGTATACCGCCATTCGCTCATGTTCAGCCACAGCGTGAACTGTTGGCACACGGATATAATCTGACCCAGTCAGCCGCGTATCCATTTCACCACCCATCGATCCAATTCAACACGTACCAACATCTCAATCGATCCCTCTCGTCTTCACCGTCCTTCGTGCAAGCCTCTGTAGATCATCAGTTAAGCGGGCACTACCCATTTGTACAACCCCAATCGATGACTCCCCCGGGCCTGGGTCACGAATCCTACCATTCGGAAACCATGTACCGATAGAGGTAGATTGGTCGTATCCAACCTTTATACGAATGTAAAAAGTTTCAAACACACGTGCCATTTCAATACTCATGGAACACAGTTCTATTGGGATGATGGGAACGCCAGCATCAACCTGTTCAACAATGTATCACTGTTTTATCAAGTATATATGAGAACAGATCACTCTCTTATCATGATTTACCATCGGTTCTCCAGTTGTATTATTTCCACCGAACGAATATTCGAACTAAAGAACAACCTACACACAAACAGATTACCATGTGTGTACTACGTTCGCCTGACTGATCGTTCTTCTCTTCCTACCACAAAAACACCGCCTGTTTTTGAATTCGCAATTATTGTGATCTATCTTGTCGCTGATTTACATCTTTTTGCTGACGGCCAATATACACTACATCACACACTTTATACATATACATACATATATATATATATTCATACACAATACTGATAGTTCCCATTGTACAGTTCACTAATGATTCCTTTTCTCGTGCCATCTCCTGTTGTTCACCTTGTCCACGTTTACTCATGACAATCTTAACTGCGAGCCAAGCACCATGCGGCTGTTTCTGATAATCGAAATTGTAGTAGCCTGGTGTTACACGTGTGGACTCCGCATGTGGTTCGGCAAGATTTGTGCAGCAATAGTTGCAAACCGATCCCAAGCTTTCACTGGTTTGTGCGAGACTGCAGAAATAGCACAGTAACTCCCAAACACTGTTGTTTGCAGCGCGTCTAGACGAAAAATATAAAATATCTATCGGGCAGGACTCTGTACCTATTTGAATTGCATGAGCAATGGCTAAATCATGGAAAATCGACCAGAAGTCGTGTCATCTGCTATGAATCAAGAAGAAGAGTGTGCATTAGGATTGTGATGAAAAACCAGCACTGTTCAAACCGCGAGACGTAATCAATCGTTGAGTGACATTGGGGTTTGGCACTCAGTTTCCTTTGGGTGAGAAATGCTGCGAGGTTAGGCAGTAGTGATATAAAATGGAATAATGATTGTTACCTGTTGTCGTTCATCTCAGTCATATGTGTGACATTTAGCTGTCAAATTAGTCAAGCTCATGTACCAAAGGAATTTCGTTTTCGAAACGCTATTTGTTACCTTGATAGTGATTTACGAGTTGGAATAGAAATTGGTCGGGAGATGGAAATAACAGGTAGAGTTGTTTGGTGAAATTTGAGTTTTGCGTTAAAACATACCATTCGCATTATCAGAGACAAGGTGCGTTTTTAATTGTCGGGCGGAATGCCCGTTATGTAGTTGAGTTAGAGGGAGTTCCAAAACAGAAGGGTCTTTATCAATTAGAGAATATTAGAATAAAAGCACAGTGCGTGCGGAAGCAAAGAACAGTAAAATGCTGCGAAACTAACAAGATTCTGTCAGGGTTCTTGAAAACCTGTTTTGAAGGTATCCGCTTAAATTCAATATTCTTTATTCAAATTACGGAAAGGATGCAACTATTCTCCTCGACTGATGCATGGTTCTGGTTGGTGATAAAGGCATTATCAATTTTTTGGCGATAGGCTGGTTTGAAGTGATAACTTTATTTTAAAGTTTAAATCAACAGGCCTAATAGAAATCCCTCGAATTGGGCTGGGAGATGATTTAACAAAATCTTGCCAACAATAGAAATCGTCTAAACTTTCTTGTTGGATTTGTGTACAGAAGAATAATGAGTACAACGCTGATGTCCTAATTATGCGGGTAATCTTCATAATTGTAGACCAGTTCACTGTCATTTTAGACAATCATATCTTAGAAAACTGAACCATCTTGTTACGACAACACAAAAGTCAGACGCTATGATGTGAAGACATTTCATACTCTTCCGTCGGTCGCTTGCATTAAACATCGATTTTAGACAAACCCATTGCGACTTCACGGACATCAGGTCTTGTTTGTCCGGTTGTGTGGGTTGCTTTCATCGCCAGTTACCGTAATCCCCAATTGTCCGGTGCTTTTTAGTTGAGAATGTTTTGTAAAATATGTCGCTAATGGTGCTAAGTAGAAGTTCCGTCTTTTTGGGGCTCCATCATTACTATCTTTTGTCCTTTCTGGGATGCACATTTACTCGTGAGCTGCAATTTTGGCGACCAACAGCATTATGGACTTAGCGAGGTTCACAATGTTTACTGAATAGATCTAGTAAGTGCAACAAGATTGAGAAATTTAGAGAGAAGTACGGAGACATTTGATTCAAGGCACATGGATAAGCCTTGGGATCTAAACCACTTTACCAAATGCTGACAAATTCAGACTGTGATTACGCAATATGACCGGTCAAATGAGTTTGACAAACGATCAACATGAGTTGTCGCACAGTTGATGAAGCCGAATTCCTTGATTCTAAATTCTTCTTGTTTGCCTCATGGTTTATCAACTGACATGTCTTCAGGAGCGATTAGGTTGCAAAAATACACTCGCGACTGATATTTCGGCCGTAAGTTAGATAATGGACGTGGGGTATTCAACAAAATCCGAACTCAATCGTTTTTTCTGGACTGGAAGGATATCCATCAACTTTACATATGGGCAATAGGGTTTTATTGTTCTTTAAAAACAACTCAAATTAAACCGGATGAATTCATTGGGGAGAAAAATCTTCATACCCAGTTGATTTTACTGACTGATTTATGTTCGCGAAAGCCAAAAGTCAAAGCGATC